GAACGAGAGGACGTAGAGGGCCAGCTGCGGGGGAGGGGCCCGAGTCACGGGGGCACAATGGGCCCCTGAGACTGGTCCCCGGTGCCCAGCACCTTGGCTGGCCCGTCCCTGCCACCCAGCACCACAACCAGCTGTCCCATGCCACCCAACACTGGGGAGGCCACCCCTTGAATCCTGGGGTCAGTTTTGGGCCCCACCCTCCCAGCAGGACAGAGAAGGAAAAACGAAGCTGCTGGGGAAGGGTCTAGAGCCCAAGTGTGGTGAGGAGCAGCTGAGGGAGCTGGGGGTGCTGAGCCTGGAGCAAAGGAGGCTGAGGGGAGACCTTCTGGCTCTCCACAGCTTCCTGACAGGAGGCTGGAGCCAGGTGGGATTTAAATCTCTTGTCCCAAGTGACAGGGCAAGAGAAACGGGCCTCGAATTGCCCCAGGCGAGGCTGAGGTTGTCCCTGAGGAACAATCTCTTACCCCTGGCTGTCCAGGGCAGTGGTGGAGTCCCCATCCCTGAAGGGGTTTCCAAGATGTAGAGATGTGGTGCTGAGGGACATGGGTCAGTGGGGACCTGGCAGTGCTGGGGAATGGTTGGACAAGATGATCTCCAAGGTCTCTTGCAACCAAAACAACTCCCTTATTCTCTGATTCCATGAGTCTATGCTTTAGCCAATTGGTGGAGTCATAAAAGCGAGACAAGCTCCCTGGTGCACGAACCCGTGTTCAGGGCAAGGAAACCCCTGGGCCACCTGAAGCCAGGAGGTGCCCGAGATGTTCCAGGGAGCGTCAGAGTGGGATAGGAAGCAGGGAGAGGTCAGTAATTGGCTAAGGTGACCCTGAGCTAAGTGTGTGGTGGGTTGGCTTAGCAGAAAGACTTCAAGAGAGACCTTCTTGTGGCCTTGCAATATTTAAAGGTGGCCTACAAGAAAGATAGGGAGGGACTTTTACCAGAGAGCGTACAGACAGAAGAAGGTGGGATAGTGTGAAACTAAAAGAGGGAGATAGGGACTGGAGAGAAGGGAGAAATGTTTGACACTGAGGGTGGTGAGCCCCTGGCCCAGGTTGCCCCGAGAGGTGGTCACTGCCCCATCCCTGGAACCATTCCAGGTGAGGTTGGCCAGGACTCTGAGCAACCTGCTCTAGTTGGGGATGTCCCTGCTCCCTGCAGGAGCGTTGGACAAGATGAGCTTTGCAGGCCCCTTCCCACCCAAACCATTCCATGATCTCCAACTCACCTCCTTGGGCAGCAGGGAAATGAAGTCTCGCTGGAACTGGGGCTCAATGACTTGCATCATGTACTTGATCTGGGAGGGCTCACAGCGGTCGATGAGCTCGTCCAGAGCCAACAGCTTCTCCGGGCCGCTCCACCGCTGAGGAGGGACACCAGTCACGACGCCTGCACGCACAGCAGGACCTCGCAGGCTCCTCGGGGCTCTGTGCCCCCACCCCAACCCGCACAGAGACCTCCTCCACCCGCAGGAGCAGGGTAGGGCTCTGGCACCCAGACCCCGAGATGGAAGAGCTGGAGATGAGGCTGGGACCTCCACAAGTCCCAATCCCACAGGATGGAACTCGGGTGCTCTGTGATGGTGGAGAAAGTCACGACACTGAAGAAGGGAAGCAGGAGTGGGGTACACCACTTCTGTGGTAGGGTTGGTCTCTCCTCCCAAGGAAGAAGGCACAGGAGAAGAGGAAACAGCCTCAAGTTGCCCCAGTGGAGGTTGAGGTTGGCCCTGAAGAACAATTTCTTCCCCTTGAGCGTTGTCCAGGGCTGTGCCAGGCTGCCCAGGGCAGGGGTGGAGTCCCCATCCCTGGAGAGGTTTCCAGGCCGTGGAGATGTGGCGCTGAGGGACACAGGTCAGTGGGGACCTGGCAGTGCTGGGGGATGGTTGGACTCCATGACCTTAAGGGTCTTTTCCAACCAAAATATTTCATGATTCTACAAGTCCATGACTCTATGACCCTATGAGCTCCTTCACCCAGGACAAAAAAATCACCAAAAACCCTCCGTGGGACCCAACCCCTGGCCTGTGGTGGGTTTCCCAGCAATGACTCCCAGGGCTTGGCCCATCCACCCCAGAGCTCCTGGGTGCCCCGAGGCGAGGCCCTGGGCCTGGTCCCACCCATGTGTACCTGGAAGGTGCGGAGCCAGTCCTGCAGCTCGGGCGGGGGGACGACCGAGGGGATGTGGCGGCGGCGGGCCTGCCCTGACTTGGCGTTGCGCAGGTCCCCGAACGTGGTGGTGGGGCTGGGCGTGCAGGGACCCAGCGTCCTGGACGAGACCAAAGCCAAGGTGAGACTTGTCAACGCTGCTCTGGGCCACCATGAAACAGCTCCCAGGAAAGAGGTTCCCACAAACTACCAGCTGTGAGCCTCCTGACTGCCCAAATCCTTCCCCACCACATCCACCGCTTCCCCACCAAGTCCACCAGACCACAGCCACCACAGAGTCCTCTCAGCCTAGCCTGCTCCACAGCACAACATAGTCATGGACTGGCTGAGATTGGTGGCACCTCCAGAGGTCCTCTGGTCCAAGCCCTACTCCAACAGGACCACCTTGATGACTTGTTTATCTCCCAGGGAGGGAGACTCCACCTGCCCCTCCCAGAGGATGGGGGCAGGACCTGCAGAAGGTCTCCCCACGGCCAGGTGCCCCCTCACCTGCTGTACTCGGAGCCCTTGCGGAGCTTCTTGCCAGGGGACAGGGCTCGGCCGTCCAGCCCGTTCTCCGACTTGCGCTTCATCTGCCGGGGGAAGGCGAGAAGCTGAGGGGGGCTGGAGTGGAGCTAAGGCCCACCCCTGGCCACCCATCCCCTGCCCAAAGGGACAGAGGGACCCTGCCCAGCATGGCTGGTGAGCCAGCGCTGGGGACCTGAAGAGGAAGATAAGTAATGAAATCATGGAACTGTTTTGGGTTGGAGGAGATCTTTCAGGTCATGGAGTCCAACCATTTCTATAATCCTGCTAAATATGTAACAAACAAGATTTCTTAGGTTGGAAAAGACCCTTAAGAACATTGACTCCAACTGTGAACCCAGCACTGCCAGGTCCCCACTGTCCCATGTCCCTCAGCACCACATCTCCATGGCTTGGAAACCCCTCCAGGGATGGGGACTTCACCACTGTGCTGGGCAGCCTGGCACAGCCCTGGACAACCCTCAAGGGCAAGAAATTGTTCCTCAGGGATAATCAACCTCCCCTGGTGACCTCCCCAAAGGCCACCTGAGCTCCAGAGCTGGCAGAAGTTAACTGCTGTGGGAGAAACGAAGCTTGGTCCTTCCATGGAGCATATCAGACCTGACAGGGAAACATCAGCAAGAGCTGCACAGGGACAAGGACAGTGGCTGAGGAAATGTACTGGTACCTTTGGAAGACCCATCCCTGGAACCATTCTAGGTGAGGTTGGCTGGGGTTTTGAGCAACCTGCTCTAGTTGCAGATGTCCCTGCTCCCTGCAGGGGCATTGGATAAGATAGCCTTGACAGGACCCTCCCACCCAAACCACTCTGTGATTCAGTAGTTCCATGGCCCTTTTAGCTGGTTTTCTCCCCATTTCTGGTTTTAGAAGAGACCAATGGATTTGAGCAACCTGCTCTCAGGGGAGGTGTCCCTGCCCATGGCTGGGGGCTCGAACTGGATGATTTTTAAGGTCCCTTCCAGCCCCAACTCCTCCATGACCCGTCTGGCCCCTCTCCAGCCACGGCTTGGTGGGGAGCAGGCACTGGGATGCTGAAGCCTCATAGCCCCATGGCCAGGGCATGGAACTACTTGGAAACCCCAGAGAGATCCGGGCTGGGGCACACAGCAGATGGAGCCCACGTCCCTCCAGCTCCCTGCAAGAGGCTAGCAAAGAGGGTGGGGTGGCTACCAGAGGGTGCCAGGCAGCCCCCAGCTGAGAACACCCAAGAACATCCGGTGGGGACCCCGGGCCGCAGGGGTGGCTCCGCTCCCCGGGGGGTTACCTTGGGGCGCACGTGCCGGAGCAGGGCCCCATCCTCCGTCCGCTGCAGGTAGTCAATCCACCGCTCCCCGATGGTGTAGTAGAAGTAGATGTTGCCGCTGTCCTCCCCTTCTTCGCTGCAGCAGCTCCCCTCTTCCTCCTCCTCCTCTTCCTCCTCCTGCTCCACGCAGACGCTGGAGCTGCTGGGCTCCCGTGCCCCATGCCCACCAGAGACATTGGCCCCTGGTCCTGATGCTGGGCTCCCCTTCCCAGCGCGCCCTGGCTCCCAGGCGCCCGAACCATCCCCCTCCTCCTCCTCGTCTTCCTCCACCTCAGCCACCACCTGCAACACAGTGAGAGGCAGGGTCAGGTCTGTGGCCTGGCTCTGTTGTGCCCCCGCCCTGGGGAGT